GGGGTCGCGGTGGGTCGGATGCGACTTTGCAACTAACAACAACAACAAATGGTTGCCCATGTGCTTGATAGAGTTGACATTAATGACCCTCTGGGGATGGGTCCAAGCCAACAGCTTCTCAGTAAATCAAAAGCAAAGCTTCTCAATCACATTCCTTCTGAGAAAACCAACTTATTGGAGTGGGGTTGAAATGTCATATTTATTCATGGTATGATCAACGCTTTTCTGCTCATGGAAATTAGTACCTTGCATTGCTTCTGTTTTTCTATTTTTGCTATTTTACCAACAGCAAATTGTAGCATCAAGGTACTCCTTCTGATGACCCCGTGACAGCATAATTCTCATGCATAGTTATGCAGGACTCCATCCCACTGGAAACAAAATAATACCTGTGTTTCTCAAGCTGAACGTGCCTGGAGGTGGCTGGTCCTGCAATCCTGGCGACTGCTTGCGTGAGTGCGCCTTCCCCCATACAGTGACGCCGTCACGCTATTAGCAGGCCGCAGCTCAGACCTTTGTGTTGCTCTCTCGCCCTCTGGTGGTTAATAGAATGTACTGTTATTGTGGCGCTAGATGTTTTTATGTGATTTCATTCCTATCCTAGCTTCAAATATCCGAAGATGGAGCACTCTTGTTCTGTTACTACAGAGGAAAGCACTGGAACCAGAGGGTAATAACTCTTTGCAAGCTCATTTCAGTTAACCGTGAAAGAGAAATGTCCTGACTATACATGTTCTCAGCTAAACATTTGGAGAAAAACATTCTCGTGGTAAGTGCTGCTTAGCGGAGGAACACGCTGTTTTGGGAGCGGGTGAGAGTTGCTAAACCGTGGCTGAAAAGCCAGCTGTCCGGAATGCCGCAGTTGTAACCTGCACTGAGCAGTGTCAGAATCCCGGAATCTCAATTTGAGAAGAGGGAATAAAACTCTAAAAGAGGCTGGAAAAGCCTCTAAAAGAGGCTGGAAAACTTGCAACAAGACATTAAAACAGTGTTCCCGGTTTCTGACAAGGAAAGGACTTGCATAAAAATGTTTCTATATAACCCCTCTTTCATACAGGGCTTTCACACAGGATAAGCTTATTGAGGATGTCCAGAAAACTGGGTAGGACCTGTGTTAGCCCAATTCAAGGGCCACGCATTTCCTTACTTCCCAGTTCTGGCTCATATAGAAGGAATGGGGGAAGGAAAAAATCTCTCTCACACATTTCCCTGATCATCACCTTTTTCCCAGCAGGACTCAGCCATGCTTGGGCTCAGGCAAATGACCTCATGAATCTATTTCTCAATCAAAGCCAGGTTCACACATTCTCATCTCAGGGACAAGAACACCCATCCACGCCCTTGCTTTCAACCATGCCCTGAAGAGGACAGATTGGTGCGGCTGCGTGGGGAGCGTCTATTTCCTGAGGAACCCCCAAAACCCACTCTGGCCTATGCTTACCTCCCAGAAAGGGGAACTATTTAAAATACAAACAGACAAGACAGAGAACACAGGCAGCAACAATGAACACAAGACTTTCGCAAACAGTGAACATAAAACTCTGCACAAACCCCAGTGCACACATATACTCACACGTGTAGATCTTTCCTGGTGCACCAAAACCATATTAGCTAGCCTTTTCTCCACCAGCTTGGACCAAACAACCCTGATTCCATCTCCTTAGGATGTATTTCCACCAGATGCTTTTGCAAAAGGTGTAGCCAATTTCAATCAAATGAGCCCTCTGAGGCCAAATTAGTTAGGTTTGACCATGCTGTTTTAAATCAAAAATAGCAAGCGCTTGCTTCTGTGACAACCCCACAGGTGCCGCCCATGGCCATTTCACACCACCCTGCAATTTGATGCAGAGGTGTCCATGGGGCAGTAAGCTGAGATTCTGAGACCCCCATGCTTCCTGGGTGTCCACAATCAAAGCCAATGTGCAATGAGGTTCAAAACCAGATCTAGTTACATTGACCCGCCTGCGAAACGGAAGAGATGGCCAGTATCTGTCGGCCGAACTTACCATCTCTCCTGCCCAGGATAAAGGGCCAAAAACCCACGATCCCACCTTCGTCGCCAAATTGTCAGAATCCCGGAATCTCAATTTGAGAAGAGGGAAAAAACTCGGGTTCATGGGAAAGACCAAGCGTCCAGACCATCGGAGGCTTTATTGTTTTATCCCAAGGTTCCCGTGGTACACTCACACTAATGCTGGCTGCACTGCCAGGCAGGCAGAGATGAACTCTGCTGCAAAGCCTCAATACCATTACAGGGCATTTATGGGTACACAGGTACAGGACAATTGATGACAGAATGCAGAGATTACAATAAGATTCTGAGGTCACTACATACAGAACAGATAAAGAAATGTCAGTCAATCACACTGTAACAATGAGATTACAGTATTTATAATTGTCTGTATTGACACTTTAGTTGGGTAACTTGAACCCATCTCCAGGTCTGCTCAGACATGCAAATTCAAGCCACTAGAAACTATTCATGATAAGCTCAGACCCTTAGACTCTAAACATTCTGCATGATCAGGGCACATGAAGCCCTCTGGGCTATCAAAAGATTATTGTAAACTAAATTCCAACAATGACTATTTACAATGGATATTTGGGCTAAAATGGCCTACTGTAGCCTACAGTTAAAGGTGAGAGAAAGGAGCAGGGAGTGCAATTTTAAACAGTGACAGCTTGGTTTTGAGAAGGAGGACAGGATTTGATCCCACAATGCAAAGG